CTCTGTCCCCTCATCCAGGTCACAAGCTATCTAAGATCAGCTAATGTCGTGCTTATATTCCAGCATCTGCTTTAATCTTTGTCAATTTTCAGGTCTAGATGAGATTCGATACTATTGAACCTGACTAGACCAGAGCAGGCAACTTAAAAGGTTAGTTAAAGAACTCCTTATAACTTGTTTAATCACATATTTATATGCTGGGATACTGACCATGTCTGCCTACAGCCTTGAAGTCTATCTTAAAGTTGGGCCCGTGGGCCCATTTATGTCTGGGATATAAATGTAGGTCCCATTTCACTTGTAAAGGCTGCTGAATAAGAAAGCTCAGCACTTATGCTCCATCTTCAGAGTATGTCAGAGACACAGGAGACTGAGGTTGCTTTTACATCAGGTAGCAAGTGTTTGGATGAACTGCTCCTTCAGCCATTCCTCTCCAACCCCCCTGATGGAACGATGGCTTCGGCTTCCTCCAAATGATCCTTTGGATGGGTCAGGTTCTTGGTTGGCTCCGCTGTTAAGTGTCTCCATGGAAGGGATTTTACTTTTAATAGCATCTCATAACAGTCTTTAAAGAGGTTTATGGCTCAGCCTGATTCCATAGGAAATTGACTGTTCTCTGCTAAATCTCCTAAAGAAACATCGTTATTGGTTCACATAGAATTTCAGCTAGTTCTCCTCAAGCTCTAGAGCCGAGTTAATTGGACATGATTGCCCTATGTTGGAGAATTACAGTTAGATGAGTAATATTAAGCAAAGGAAATAAGAGCTTTCTGTACCTCAGAACATGCTGGGAGTTGCGGGGAGCGGCAGGAAACGGCAGCTCAAAGAAATGTACAGACTGGGCCCACGGAACAGGGTTGATTTAGGGAAGGAGGAAGCTCTTTGTAATTATTCAGGTTTGTAAAACCAGCAGTGCTTTCTAAAGGAGAGCTAGATGGGGTAAAAATAGACTGGAGCCCCGAGTGTTTATAAGAGGCAAAAGTACAAGAAAGAAGAGAAACAGATCGTGGCAGACCTGTGAGACTGCTATTTTTATAATTGCTTTTTTTTTTCCTTTTTTTTTTTTTTTTTTTAAACAAATGCTGCACTGTCATATAGCTACCAAAACCTGAACAAAGTAGTCAGGAAATAAATAGAACAGGATTTCACCAGAATGCATTTGTATTTCCAAATGGAAACTGCATGCTGAAGGCAAGTCCAGTACACTAAAAAAAGGCTGAATGATTAATGGACATGACACTAGTCCACAAGACAAAGATGAGCCCATGTAAAATCACCAAGCAGCTCAAGACACAAAAGCACTGCAAGTGTTTTTGTAGTGTTTATGCAGAGCAGCTCAAACCTTGCTGCTAAATCCTGGAACTCCTGGGTGCTGCTTCCCAATTTACTTCTACCTACAAGCCCATTGGATGGGGTAAAACCTAGAAAAAAATTACCTATAACATAAAACCAGTCTTTATTCCTTAGTACAAGGTTTTATACAGTATGGCCATATTAAAATTGCCAAAATTAAAACTTACTCAGCTAAAGTAAACTTCCTGAGACAACTACAGGTGCCAGCATTCATCTTAAAAACATCTAAGTATGGGTTCAACTGCACTGAGAGGTGCAGTTTTACTGAGATCAGCAGCTCTACTTAAGTCAAGTCACATTTAGGGGAGTGTCTTGAAGGTACTCAAGAACTTCAGGCACCAGGGTGGCACTACCAGTGACATGATGTGATTTGCTATAACAAATAATTGTACTGCTATGTCATGGAAGATTGCGTTCTTTCTCTTAAACCTTATGCATTCAGACAGAGAAAAAAAGCCAGTTCTCCTAAACTTTAAGGATGCTTCTTACAAGTAGCTGGACAAGAAGCTTCTTCCAAGCTTCTTCCAAAAGCTGGACCCCAAGCCGACGTGCAATCTGAGCGTGTCCCCACTTTAACATCTGGGGACCTGATTCTGCAGTCAGTCCTTCATGGTGCACCTCTGATCCCTGCTGGACTGTGCAAGGAGTGATGCACTATTCTGGTTTCCCCAGTCAGGAGTCCTGAGGCTCAGGAACATAGTTCTGCAGCTGGGACTGGCATCAGTCCTAATAGCTGCCTTCCAGTACCTGAAGGGGGCCTACAAGAAGGCTGGGGAGAGCCTATTTACAAGGGGTAATGGCTTTAAACTGGAGAAAAGCAGATTTAGATTAGACATTAGGAATAAGATCGTTACTATGAGGGTGGTGGAGCACTGGAACAGGTTGCCCAGGGAGATGGTTGAGGCCCCATCCCTGGAGATATTCAAGGGGAGGCTCAACGAGGCCCTGGGCAACCTGGTCTAGTTGGGGGTGTCCCTGCTGACTGCAGGGGGGTTGAACTAGATGACCTTAAAGGTCCCTTCCGACCCAGATTATGATTCTATGATCACCACTGTAAAATGGATTTTGCCATGTGTAAGAACTGCAAAATCAGGCAATCTCCTTGGGGCAAAAGCCTTGTAGGGTTGGACTAGATGATCTCCAGCGGTCCCTTCCAACCTCACGTGATTCTGTGATTCTCTAAATGGACTTATTAAGGGCTAAGTGTTTATCTCTGCTCACCGGCACTCGATGAAACATCTGCCAATCTGATCCTGGAGAGTTTCCTTGATGTCAGGCCCCTCTGTTTCTCTCAGCTTGTCCTTGATGAATATCTCCTCCTGGCTTGCCTGGACCTCACCTTGCAGGGTGTCTACTTGCCCAGGGTGCATCCATGAACCACTCGTTGCCTTTAAGTGAGGAGGCAGGCTCTGAAAACGACAAGAGCAGAAAACAAAAGGTATGGATTGAAAGAAACTTAATAGAAACTGGAATGCCAGGTTGACAGTGAATCCAAGCTTTAAGCCTTAATTTATTTGTGCGAAGCCAGGAAAAAAAAAAACCCCCGTGCTCATAAAAAGTGCCTGGATGCACACAATGGTCTATTGTTAGTGTTTCAGCATTAATTAACAACATTGCAATGTACAAAAACAACCCTTCCAGCGTGGGATCCCGGGATCTCAATGAGACAGGTGAGAAAGCTGCTGGTCTGCAAATGCCAACTTTATCCGTGTCAGAAGGGTGCCAGAGATTTTTTTTTAATTGAATTTTCAAATGTTTGGACTTCCCATTGGTACTTTTTAATTAGCCGGTATTGTTTTTAATTTGTTCACTTTAAATTTTTATACGCGCCGCTCGGTCAGCGGTTTCCTGGTATTTTGTTGCAGCTGGTCATATTCCTTGAGGAAATCAACTTCCCTTGAGGAACAACAACAGAAAAAAAAAAAAAAAAAAAAGAATAAACAAACCCCCAAACAGTGTAATAAAACTCGTAGCTCCCCGAGTTTCCCATGATTTGATAACCTTGGCAAGAAAGACCTCTAAGCCACTTTAAAGTCTTACAATAATTTCTGCTTCGTGATTGATTTTACATGTGTACTTTGGGGGAGAAAAATGAAAGTCTTTCTGGTATGCAAATACAGAAGCATGAAAAATACCATCTGCGTGGGTGGTCTGAAACTTTGCATTTTTTTTTTAGTTTGCAATGGTTGATAAAAGTTAAGATGTTCCCAGTGTTTTACGAGCTACTGCTACCTTGGAACTGTAGAGAAAAGTGTATTTTAAAAATTAGTTTGTAAATTAGTTTGTAAATTAGTTTCAGGTTTTTTTGCAGTTCTAGAACAAAGCGTTTTCCACATACTTGGGAAGCAGAAATGGTATTATCTGATAGTGTATGACAAATTTAGTAAGGGATAAAGGAGAAAATTTGATTATCTGGTTTTGTGGTGTGGTTTACTCTTCAGAGTTAGTGACTATCAGTGGCAGCCTCTGTGAATGAAAGCCTAGGACTGTTGGTTTGCATGAAAAAGCTCTATATTCTGGCTTTTCACCTTCAGAATGTATAGAAATTGTCCCTAAACCAGCAGATCTCAACCTAATTTAGCAATACATGCTCCTTGCTCTGGTGATGTATTTTCTCGTGTGCTCCAAGTCCTAATTCCAGAGGTCTCCCACAAAGACAAAAAAGCTTCTATCAAAGATTTGGCCAGCTTTTATTTAAGATCTGTTATTCCGTGCTTTTCCGTGCTTCGACCAGGTTCCAAAAATCACTCACGAGTGCCAAGCAAATCTGGTTTCCGAAAGTACACGGCGGGATTGCACGCTGTCCAAAGTCAGCGCAGAGGCCCTGCTCAGGAAAGCAATTTACTGCCTTCCCTGCATCTGCAACGTGTGACTCGCACGCCGTTAAGGAATTGGTCGAGGCCACCAGTGAGAAAATATTCTGGAGGAATTAAGAAGAGCTGCGTGCTTTTGAAAGCTCTCTTCCTAGGACATAGGACCCAAAATGTTGCCCTTCACTCTGAGATGTTGCCTTCGCTCCTCTTCCAGTTTCCACTAAGTCAAGCCTTTCCAATCTTTCACCTTCACCAGCACAAATACTAAATCACAGAATCACAGAATCTTCTAGCTTGGAAGGAACCTTAAAGATCATCTTGTCCAACCATCAACCTAACTTTGACAAAGAATAGATACCCACACAACAAACAAGGAGCATCATCACTAAACCATACCTCCCAGCACTACATCAACCCCTCTTTTGAACACCTCCAGGGATGGTGCCTCAACCACCTCCCTGGGCAGCCCATTCCAATGCCTGAGAACCCTTTCAGTGAAAAATTTTTTCCTAATATCCAGCCTGAACCTCCCCTGGTGTAACTTCCTCTCCTCATAAGACTTGTTCTCCAGACCCCTCACCATCTTTGTCGCCCTTCTCTGGACCCGCTCCAGCACCTCGATGTCTTTTTTATGGTAGGGGGCCCAAAACTGGACACAGTACTCAAGGTGAGGCCTCACCAGTGCCGAGTACAGGGGGAGCCAGATGGGATGATGCTCTCCCTGGGTTCATTTGGAAACCAGAGGAGGACCCACGAGGCTTGCTTCCCAGATTCCTAGAAACAAGATCCACTTCCGAGTCACAGGAGATAGGACAAGGGGAAATGGCCTCAAGTTGCACCAGGGGAGGTTTAGATTGGATATTAGGAAACAGTTCTTCAAGGAAAGGGTTATCCAGCATTGGAATGGGCTGCCCATGGAAGTGGTTGAAGCACCATCCCTGGAGGTGTTCAAAAGATGGGTAGACATGATCCTCAGGAATATGGTTCAGTAATTTTTATTTCCTGTTTCTCCCTTATTTTTTTGTCGGCTAGGTTGATGGTTGGACTAGGTGATCTTTAGGTCCCTCCAACCTAGACAACTCTGATTCCCTCAAGCATTTTCCCACTCAACTTTTGCTTCGCTATAGGGACTGCTTTACTGAGAAGCTCCCACCAGAGGACTGCTGCCTGGAGGTATGGGTAGCAGGGTTGCTCCTGAAGAGATGAGCCAGCTAGAGCTAGCTAGACTCTTCCATGTCTTCCTATACTGCCGTAGCACAGCCTGAACAGACACTGCATTATGCCCATAGGACAACCTACTAGATTTCCTAACTAGATGCTCACCAGGGGGAACCTGGGAATGGACTGTTTCAATTTGAAATACATTTTCCAGCATGTGAGAAGATAAGGTAAAGAAATCTGGGAGGACAAGAAAGGGGCTAAATGAGTATTTCCATGAGCAAAGGTAGTAGTGGTGAATGTTGATGATGTCTTGCCAGATGGGCAGAAGTTCCTCCATCCTGTTTCCTTTGGGCAAAGAATCAATATTTGAGCCTCGGTCCAAGGGGCACAAGGACATCTCCAGCTTTAGTGGGGCTGATCTGTAGCTGATGGAGAAAAACAGGCTCCTCTACAGCACACATCTGAACGTTTAATGGTGAAATGTCATGAGATGGCTCACCAGATGAACAGCTTACTGGTGTTGGGAAGGGGCAGTTCTCCTTCCACCCCTAACTGCTGGACATGTGGTTCCTCCCTTCTCCTGCACAGGGTCTGGCCCTCACCTGACCCTGCGGTGAACCAGTACAGCTCTCTATAGAAGTTGAAAATAATCCCTTTTATCTCCAACCCCAGCCCGGGTTAATTCTTTCTTCATATAATCATAGAATCATAGAATTGCCCAGGCCGGAAGGGACCTCCAAAGGCCATCTAGTCCGACCCCCCCGCAGTCAGCAGGGACACCCCCAACTAGACCAGGTTGCCCAGGGCCTCATCGAGCCTCTCCTTGAATATCTCCAGGGAAGGGGCCTCAACCACCTCCCTGGGCAACCTGTTCCAGTGCTCCACCACCCTCACAGTGAAGAACCCTCTCCTAATCTGAGGTCAATAAGCCAGCCAAGGAGACAACTGAAGGTCAGAGCCACAGCGAGGGAAGTGGTGAGCAAGTGTGGGACCAGAACCACGTGGAGAGCAGGATGACCACACAGGAGAGCTCCTCTTTGCCATCTCTGAACCTTTTCTCTGCTCAGCTCCCCCTCTGAACCCTCTCCACTGGGTCCTGAGGGGGTGTTTGATGACGGGGCGTTTCACCCATCGCTGTGAATTTACTACCAGCGTGTATCTCATCAGCACTAAAGCCAGACGAGGCAAGAAACATTTAAACTGGCAAGAACGTGCCCACGTGAGCAAGACCAGAAGCAGAAGTTGCTTATCTCTAAAATACAGACCGTATCTCCCCTTGAGTCCAGACTTAGGAAGCTGGTGTGGACGCAGTCCAGGCAGCTCTAAACCAGCTGGCTCGGATGCTGGTAGTAACAGGGCTACAGAACACGCTCTGCTCTGCAAAACCCAGCCAAGCCCTTGAGTAAATATTTGTGCAGCTACTTTTCTGAGCATCATACAGTTATCAACTTATCTGCTGATACCAGTTTACGAGCTGCACTGGAAGCCCTAAGGCTGACGTACAGACATAATCTTGTAGAACAGCTTATGAAAAGAAGCTCTGTTGTGTTTTGCACCCCCCCCCTTTTCTTTTTTCTTTTTTTTTTTTTAATTTTCTTTCTCAAAGACTGCTTTACTACAAGAAAACAAAAGAAACAGGAGCTGCTTCTACCCAGGAGAGTCCAGTTACCCACCTTTGATAACCCACTAAAGAAAGGAATGAAAGAGAAAGATAGTCAGACTCTATCACAGAATCTTAGTGGTTGGAAGGGACCTCTGAGATCATCGAGTCCAAGGACAAAAAAAAACAAAAACAAACAAACAAAAAAACCCCCAAAAACCCACAAACAAAAAAACCACAACCACCACAAAAACAACAAACCCAAAGCCACCACCCACCTACTAAACCCCACACCCACAACCCCACACACTACACCCCACCACAAACCTACAATCTTGGGCACTAGAGCATGCCCTGAAGAGCCATGTCTACCCGGTTCTTAAATCCCTCCAGGGATGGTGACTCCACCACCTCCCTGGGCAGGCTGTCCCAGTGCCTGACCACCCTCTCAGGAAAGTCATTCTTCCTGATATCTCATCTAAACCTCCCCTGCCCCAACTTCAGACCATTCCCTCTGCTCCTGTCATGATTCCCTTGGGAGAAGAGGCCAACCCCCACCTCTCTCCACCCTCCTTTCAGGGAGCTGTAGAGGGCAAGGAGGTCTCCCCTCAGCCTCCTTCTCTCCAAATTAAACATGCCCAGTTCCCTCAGCCTCTCCTCATAGGACTTGTTCTCTAGACCCCTCACCAGCTTGGTGGCTCTTGGCTATGCTCATTTTCCAATCCTACTGAATTAATATTTTCTAAAGTAAGGTATGTGGAAAAGGATTTATTTACATGGAGGAAAAGGCCTCTTGCTGACGTGAAAAGTGCTGTTGCTTGACTGCTTCCACGGC